ACGATCTGTTTTGATATTATTTCCTAAATGACCCCGTTTGGATCTCGTTGTTGGTCTGTTTCACCTGCGAGATCCTCGCTGGCGTCGCTGACTCACCGTTGAAGCTGCATCTTATCGATTGTACGGCTCTGCAGGTCGCTCTCTCAGGTGTTGTTGACAGCAAACATCTGACTTTAGACCTGTTAGTCAGTCAGGATCAGTGCGCAGATCGCTCCTGTATTATTCTTCCTCCGACCTTTTGAGACACTTTTCTGTCCAACCTGAACGCTCCCTGACGTTTGTGTTTGGATAAATGGCTCTGGAGGACAACCTTGAGATGAAGGTTGAAGCTCAGTGCTCAAGAATGAATGAACTGAGTGAATTTATTTATTGTGTTTGTGGAGGAAGACAAACTATTGTGCCAATAAAACCACAAACAGTTCATCCAAACCAGCCGGATAACAGCGGAATAGTTTGTATGGAGTGTTTGTTGGGGTTAAATTTAGGGGGGGGGGGCGTCCTTGTGCTGCCAGTCAGGCGCTAACAAAGAGCGCCGTATAATAAATGGGACTTTAATTTGTTTTTCCTCCGACAAGGTCGGGGGGTGGAAGGCAGCGAAGAGGAGGGAAATGTGAGGAAGGGGAACGCCGACGGACTCAGTCGTGTGTGCTTGTGCTAAAAACGACTGAAGCTAATTCTGCCCGTTTTTTTTGGGACTGCGCTTGAACGCCTCAAAGTGGTTTGGGGCTGAAGGAAGGGGGGGGGCTGAAGGAAGGGCGGCGGGCGAGAAGGACCTGCTCGTGAGATGCTTTGCTGTCGCCGTGGCAACAGGCAGACGAGGCTTATGGGTGCTGTAGTATGTGACACACCAAACCTCGGCTACAAAAAGCAGGATTTAACAGAAATGTAGTTTGTGAAAGTTTCTTGAGGGATAGTTTTGGTCACATGATTATAAAAAATATCTTCTTATTGGAGATTAATCCTAATACACTATATGGCCTAAAGTAAATGGACACCTGTTTTATGCATATTTAGTCTGTTTTTCTGTGTTTGATTAATGATCTGTCCCTCCAATGAAGGAAAATCTTGATGTTTTAGGAAATATTTAATCTGATGTCTCTTTCATTAAACAGTGTATAAACTCTACAAGTTATGTTCTCTATGTAGTTGAGTTGTAATTTGGCTCCGATAGAAACCTGAACGATGAACACTGAAGGAATCCTGAGCGTTGGTGGTGGTGAAGACAACAACTCCCATCCCACGCTGCTTCACCGCCTCATCTAACTTCCTCTCTTGTTCCTGTTTGGATGTGAGAGACCCCCTAGTGGCAGAAATTACATTACAAAGACATTGTTCCCATGTTTTCCTGCTGAAAAGCACATAGAGAAGAGAAGCAGGCGGCCATGTTTGTGGTGTTTTTTAAACTGAAACCATCACTTACCTGTTTCAGAGTTGATTCCAGCTCTCCTCGCCTCCTCAGCAGAGCATTACGGTGCTCACAGATCCACAGCGCCGGCTGTTTGGCCCTTCCACAGTCTGACTCCGGCTGCGACGCGCCTCCTCTGCCCTCTGACATACACTGTGTTTACATGTGACCTGTCAGGGACACCAGCTGCTCCGTTAGCACGTGTGTGGAAATTCAAACAGAAGCGATGATGAAACGCTGCTGCAGAAGGAGAAAAATCACTCTGCAGCAGCAAGTTTTATTTTAAAGGCTGACATTTTAGCCACCTCTGTAAATGTATTCAAATTAATTTCCCATTATTTCCGCGCTTATCGGAGGCCGCAGAGACGTAAACAAAGATGCGAACAAAAGCAATTAAAAATAAATGGGGTTTGGACAGAAGTGCCCCGGAGAAGGAGATAAAGGCAGGAACAGTATGGAGGCTTTTAGCTGCCACCGCCTCACTTTTATTTTTATTTTTGCCACAACTGCTGTGGACTTTTTGGGCGCCGTCCTGGGGCGTCATCACACTAAACGGCTAAATTAACCCAATTATTTGGAGCGAGCTGGAGTGGCGCTGCTGCCCACTGGCGCTGTGTTATTTCTGAGGACTGTATATCTATAGTGTCTCTGCACAGCTTCTGGCTACCAGTGTGTGTTTCTGTGTGTGTGTGTGTGTGTGTGTGTCCGCTGCACATTATTCAACGGTCAGCTGAATCTGTGCCTGCAAAGGAAGAGTGATTACTGTGCGGCTTTGCTTAATGAAAAATAATGACTTGCTTGCCAGAGTTTTTTATTTTTTTTTGTTCTTTTTTGTTGGTGCTCTTTAGCGCGGCCTTGCACTCGGCTGTACCTGAGCTCCATGTCAAAGGGATACTTCAGACATGAAAAGAAAAAAGCCTCGGCACAGTTTGTTCTCCCCTTTCGCGGAAGAGGCAACAATAGTTCTTAAATGAAGGCCAGTTTCCGTAGCAACATGCCAAATATAACAAGGCTTCTGCTCGCATAAAAATAAAGAGACGGATGCAGGGAGTCCTGCAGCTCCAACGCTGCTGCACACACAGCCACGCTGACGGTTTGTCTCTTCTTCTGCCTTTTGTCAGCTCAGAGGAGGTTAACGTTCATCCCAGGTGTCACTGACCTCTGTTTGTCCCCTCTCCTCTCACCGAGGACCGAGCAGAAGCTGCTGTGTCGTTTAATGTGCAATGAAAAGGGTTGAAAAGAGCAAGAAATGACCAAAATCTGAGACCTTTAAGGCTCAAATGTACTCCCAGGACTTTCCCATGTGGACATTTTTGTAGCTTTTGCTAATTGTACAGCGGGACAATGTCTCCGTCCTGTTAACTGAAGACTTACAGCCAAATAAAGTCTCCGGTTAGTTTACATATTCAGCTGAAAGTCAGAGGTTAACAGGGTCACTCCTTAAACCGACTCAGCTGCGGTGAATCGGGATAATTAGTGGACAGGTCGGCGTTTTGTTCCCAGAGCGAGTGAGGTGGAGGATACGCGTCCTCCTCCTGTGTGGTATTGTAGACATGGGACGTAATATACCTCAAAACACTGGTTCCTACATTTCCCATAATGCAACTTGATGTCTTGGTTAGTTGAATGCTGAAGCTTTTACGTGTCTTTAAAAAACTGAGACTGATCTACTCACTTGTGTTCATACTCTAACTCAAACTTTACAACTTGTAGATTTTAATCACAACATTTCTCTACAAGTTGGTGGTGACGTTGAACTCGTGAGACGGCGTGAGCGTTTTACTTCTGGAGTTCAAAGGAGCGGCTCTCATTGGGTGTTTGTGGAGGAACCAGGGCGATGCTAACTTCCTGCAGCGCTCTGTAGCAAATAAAGAACAAGCAGCAGAGGAGGTGGGCGTGTAAACTCAACTACTCACATCCAGATTAAGCACATTCATCCAGACTGCTGCTTCCCCTCAGTGCTGCACTCAGACGTATCCTGTGCTCCTTACTCAGATCTGTTATTCTCCCTCTCTCCATAATGTCCGCCGTACTGTACAGAGATGTGCGGCTCCTCCTGTCAGCGCTGTAATGGATTCTGCGTCCGTACATGGACGACTTCCCCCCTCACGTGTGCAGCAGCAGCAGACGAAAGACAATTTCATTTACCTGCTTCTAATGAAAAGGCAATTTGCTGCGTGATAGCATGGAGATGGACTGGACACACACTGGTCCTGCCTGCAGCTTCACGGCACAAATGAATGGCGCTGTGTCGTCTGCAGCTCCCAGAGGCAAACGGAGAGGCTGCACCACATCTGCAGCTCCACAAACTCAATCATTTTCACCACGGTGACCTGTTAGAGGCCTACTATCAACAGTCGCTACAATCCAATCATACAACTGCTTTCAAATTATGATGAAAACATGAAAGATATTTAAAAATCCAGCTGTGTGTTTTCTCCTTCCTCTGCTTTTTAGGTGTTCCAGATTGAAATATGCACTCGGGCCTCTTTCTGGCATTGAATTTCTAATAAAATGTTTGTGCATGCACTTTAGGTCGGGTTTGTCATCTTCTGAAGAGCTGCCATGTTTTTATCCTTTTTTTGAAAAGTAAAAAGCAATAAAAGCTCAGCGAGAGGCTTGTTTGTTGTTTGTCCAGTAAAGTGCAGGAAAAGTTCACAAACCTGAACCGTTGAGAGATTTATACAAGTGGCAGCAATTCAGATTCTATCTGCGGCGCTCTAAAAGCCAGAGCATCGCTTTGTATCGGCTTTGTTCAGACTCGGCAGCAGAGTTCATGGCCTGCTAGAAATAAATTGGTTTCCTTTATTCCTCCTATTGTTGCTCTGTTTTTAAGGTAGTTGTATGCAGACTCTGTCCGTGGTCACTGCGGATCTCTCGCTTGGGTTTTAGGGGTGTTGTTTGAGTAGAGATGAGAGCTCATCGTTTACTGTTTGCTCCAGTGAGTTTCAGTTTTCTTTTTTTGGATTAAAGATATTCAGGGTTATTCAGTCTCTGATTTCTTCAACACATTTGCTCTGAGAATCTATTAGACACATACATTCAGGTGTCGTCTGCATAATAATGCTTGTTGAGTTTATCGTCTTGTATAATTTGGCCAAAGTGAAGCAAATTAGAGGCCCAAGGACTGAGCCTTGAGGAACTCCATACACCACTTATATAAAGGCTAATAATCAGTTGGAGCCAGTTTTGGGAAGTAACGCAATTAATGTAATTAATTACATTTTCTGATTAATAACTGCTTAACATTTACATTTGCTTGTTAACTTTTGTCCTAAACTGCAGCTGGAGAATCCTGTTTGGTCAAAAAGCAACACTGCTGCAAAGAAAAAAATGCTTTTTTTCTCTAAAAATGGACAGAACAGCTGGTAAATTGAGCTTCCAAGAGCTTTTTTTTAATTAACATGTAGAAACAGTATCCACAGGCGTCCTAAATGAGGCTCCAGCAGTCATTTTCACTGTAACTAAGTGGCTGTTTCTCCTGCTGGAGCTGCGAATATGTGAGAGCCACACCTCTAATTGAACACTGACATGTCGGAGCATGTTTCAGCCTCACGCTGCCATCAGCTGCTGTCACACTGGGGACCAGGCCGCCGCCGCCTCCTCCTCCTCCTCTACGTTGGCTTGCCGGCGTCCTCACAGTGGATCGGGTTGGGGTTCCTGCACCGACAGCCGGGTCGCGCGACTCGGTCATAGCAGCTCTGGCACACGGCGACGCATCCTCTCGCCGGGAGGTAGCACAGGAGGCAGGGGAAACACAGGGAGAGGAGCGACGCCGTGGTCCAGCGGACGCAGCAGTGCGGCTGCGTGCACGAGAAGGGCTTGTCGGCGCACGTGTCCTCGTCGTCGCTGGAGCAGTGGTAGAAGAGCCCCTTGATGCAGCAGACGCACGTGCCGTACTCCACCGCGCTCTGCACCGAGCACATGCACCGCCGGCCGCACGTCCAGCAGGACGGCAGCGCCCGTGGGCGCCGGCACTCCGGGCAGCAGCACCGGCCGCAGTCCCCGCACTTGTCGGAGTGTATACCTTGATTTTTCGGGGGTGCGCTGCCTGGCACGGCCACCATGGGCCTGGACTCGTTGCTCAGGGGTTTGAGCTCCTCTGAGCTGAGCTCTGTGCGTTTGGGCTGCGCTCTGATGATGGGGCTGCTGAGGAGCCTCTGGCCTGAAGAAGAGCTGCCCACGCTGGTCCTGATGCTACTGTGGGAGTCCTCCACGCTGGAGGAGCGCAGCACGCCCCCCCCAGAGGAGACGGGATCTGTGTTTTCACACTGAGTCAATGAATGCAGGTTGCGCAGATTGTTGGGCCTCTCTTCCGGGGTCTCCTGCGGCCCGCTGGCCCTTGAAGCCGCTGGCGTGAGCACGTCGCTCTTCTGCTGCCTGTGCTCAGACGCCGGAGACCTCTGGGTAACCGCGGGCCCTTCTGTGTACTCATTACTGCTCCCGGTTATCCTGATCTGATCCAGAGACAGCACGGCTGGAGCGTGGGGCGGCTGCCCGTTGGTCAACCCAGGATCTGGCGGAGCGTCGTGGGTTTGCGGAGGCCGTGGTTGCGGTCCCCCTTCGTCATGCGGCGTGTCCGGCGAGCCGGTCGACGACAGTGACCGCCCGTGGCGTCCTCCTCCCCCGTCGCTGTCGCTCTGACTTCTGGAATCCATCTCGGGACTGAAGGGCCACTGCGGCTGGCATGGGACACATCTGAAGTCCTGGAAGAGAGAAAGACAGTTTATATCCGTCTGCGCCGGGCCATGCAAATGCTGCCATGCAAATCATAACCGATATCTGTACGAGCACCATTATGGAAATCAGAACTAACAAACGCACCACAGTGGGGGGGGTGCAAAGATGATGTAATGTTTGGAGCGGGGGGCGTTCGGGCCTTTAGACTCAGTGTGTTTACTCAGAGCCCATTCCAGATGCAGGTTTTCTGTTTGCGCGCTGACACATCTGTTGCCCGACGCTTCCCTGCCCTCTGTAACTTCCTGTTTGCCCACACCGACGACACGACGACGACCAACCCGATCGGACTGGAGCTCAGAAACAACTCATGGGCTGGCGGAGCGACGGAAACGGGGCACACGGCGACGGAGAACTGCAACGTTCGCTGATTTGAGTCCAGACCTTCCCTGCATCTCTCTCTCTCTCTCTCTCTCTCTCATTTCCTGTTGT